CATGTCTGGGCTGAGATCCTGGCGTCGCATTTTTTGCGCAACCGGCATTGTCGCCCAGCTCTGGCCCTCAGGACCATCACATCCGGCTCGAGAATTGCAGCATACAGATGGGATCCAGGGCTTCAGTAACTATTGGTTCTTTGCGACGTCGCAATATTTTCGCGGCGTCGGATTTCAGTGTACCTCATCCGTCGGCGGCTAATTGCGAGCCCGAGACCCCTGCAGGTCCGCGCGACGCTTCGGCATCGGGCCCGCCCGCTGGGGTTCACCTGGCCGCAGATATCGTTCGAGCTCTGAAGCCCAGCCGGCGTTCCAGACACGGGAGCCGCACGCGTCGGGCTCGCACGTGGTTGCCCACTCCTGCCACGCGTAAGTCCCTCCAGCTGCGAACAGCCAGTGCGGGTGGGGAGGACATCTCCCCAGCTTGATTCGGAACGATCCCCCACCCCCTGCGCCCTCTGCGAAGCGTGCGCGGGGGTGCGGCCACCACACGGGGCGTTTCTGGGCGGGGTTGGGATCGGGACAACTTGCTCCAGAGCGCTCTAGAACGAGAGCGTTCCCAGAGCGCTCTGGAAGGGTCGCGGGGGGCCAAGGGGAGAGAAAATTGCTCCTCGTCGCCAACGGCCACCCATGGAGCGGGTGGTGGGTAGGTTGGGCGTCGGAACACGGCCTTCGGCGCCCCCTGCCCCGAGCACGGCGCGCGGAGCACGGGCTCCTTGCGTGCCCTGTTTCGCGCGCCGTTCGCGGAGCACGTGCTCCTCCTGGTCCTGGCCACGGGGGCGCGTGCCCCGTCGGGTGGCCCGCAGGACCTGCGCCTGTTGGCTATGCGTTGGCATGTATGTTTGTCTGTGCCAGCACTTTGAAGTGCCGAGCTCGACGGCCGCTTGATTCCCAGTGATCAGGCCTACTGGTGGACGCCGTGAGAGAGCAGCGCAGCGGTAAAAAAACGGATCTCGGTGATCTCTGCTGCGTCCTGGTCAGAGTCGGACTCCGCTTGTCCAAACTCTTGCTTCTACAGTCGGACCGAGGCATAATATCGAGGTCGGTTCAGGGAGGGTGCCTTCGCTATCTTCGCGTTTGCTGGATGCTTTTGTGCATCCTATGGAGGGTACCCTTGGATGCTCTGTTTGTTTTGGCCGGCGGAGGGCCTCACGTTCGGCCTGCGTCCGATTGCGTTTGCATGTGGGAGCCTGTGGGCAGCGCGTGTCACAGTATGTCCGGTGTCTCTCCCTTGGCCCTGGCTTGCCCTGCCGCGCCCCTCTAGATGTTCGCGGTTCTTCCGGCGCAGTGCGGAAGAATGCTCGGCCTCGCGTGCGTGTGACGCAATGCCTGCCCCCCGACCCCCGTTGCCATTTGTCACGGCGCCATCGTCGCAGAACGGGTTTCGTTTGGGAAACAGTGGGATGGGCCCAGATTATCACGGAAAATTTTAGACGCTTCGCGTATCCCCACCAGCCCAGCCAGAAGCGATGTCCAGGCGAGTTGAGTTGATCAGGGAAATGCGGCAGCAAAGAGGAAGACGGCCGAACCGTGCAAAGGAGTGAGGAGGAGAAGGAGGAGGTGGATGGATGGAGGGATGAGGGAGTGGGAAGAAGGAGGATGAATAGGATGCGGAGGAGACGGAGGAGGAGGAGGAGGAAAAGGAGGAGGAGGAAGAGGATGAGGAGGAAGAGGAGGAGGAGGAGGAGGAGGAGGAGGAGGAGGAGGAGGAGGAGGAGGAGGAGGAGGAGGAGGAGGAGGAGAAGGAGGGAGCAGGAAGAAGGAACAGGAGGAGGAGCAGGAGGGCAAACACAAGGGCCAAAGGTCTCCTGGATGCCTCTCGGAGCCTCTTGGGGTATTCTTGGGCGATTCTTGGTGACCTCTTGGGACGTCTTGGGGGTCTCTTGGCGCTCCTGGGGGGCTCTTCGGGGTCTTGGGTGCCTCGGGGGGGTCTCTTGGGGCCGCTGAGGGTCTTTTTGGGGGCCTCCTGGGGGCCTCTTGGGGGCCTCTTGGGGCCATGTTCGGGCCATCTTGGGACCTCTTGGGGCCTCCTGGGCGCTTCTTTGTGCCATTTTGGAGGAGATCTATCAAAGAAAAGCGGGACATTAATTTGGGTTGCCCCCCCCCAGGAGGCCAAAATGGGGTCAAAACCTTAGTAACATCAGTGATTTTGACTTCCTCGCCGAGGCCGTTTTGGACGCTCTGACACCTCCCCGCCCCTCCCGTCCAGGTCCACGGTAGGGGGAGGGGTAAACCCCTCCCCGAAGGGGAAGAGGGAGGGGTGGAAGAGGAAACGCTCTAAACCACCGACGCCCAGAGGGCAGGTGGGATTTCGTTCCGGATTTCGAAGTGAATTTCGTGCGGACTTTTTGGCCAGGAATGACCCCCGTGAATTTCACTTCGTTTTTCGCTCGCCGATTCGGGGTTTTGCGTTAACAGAGATCCGCGCAAAAATCCGCTGCAGCACGTCTGCAAGGTCGGCTTCGAACAATCTGTGCTCAAGCTTCTGTGGCCAAAGCATAAGGTTGCTGTCGGCCCATCCCGCCAATGTGGCGGCGCTGCGGGGTCTCTTGGGCGCTTCTTACGGGCCTCCTGGGGGTCTCTTGGGGATCTTTCGCAGGCCTCTTCGGAGTTTCTTCGGGGCTTCATGGGACCTCTTGGGGCCTTTCGGGCACCTCTGGGGTCATTTCGGCTACACTAGAATTTTTTTAGCAACGCGGCAACGCGAGAAGTGGCGTTCTGCACAACAAGCATGTTGTCGGACCCCTGGACACGCCTCGCGACGGTCCCCGAGAGCGCCCAGGAGCGCCGGCAATCCGGACCCTGTGCCCTCCATGGAATTCGAAGGGACCTGAGAACACCGCATTTCGCGCCTCGTAGAACAGCGGCGAATTTCGCATCAAGCCACAGCCACATCGGCTTGAATGACATCAGTGTCAGAGTTTTTCTCGAGGTCGACGGCGTCTCCACCACGCTCTCTCGTGAGAGCTTCGCAGAGGGCACTCTGGTGGTTTTACCCCATTGGTGCAGCTGTTTGCATCCTGGCTTGTTTGGTGAAGCATTTACGCAGGCCGTCCGATACACATGAGCAGACAGCCAGTCCGTGGCGTGAGGTGCCGTACGGTGGCATCGCTTATGTACCGAATGCCAGTTTAGCACTGCTCGAAGGCAGTGCTAGCGATCGCACGCACCTTGCTCAGGCTTTCCAGCATGCGTTTGAGACGTTCGGAGTGTTGCGGTTGCAACAGACGGGGCTTCCCGCTAGTACAGTAAGCGCCCTGGACAAATCGATGCGCAAGTTCTTTTCGCTTCCTTTGGAGCGCAAGCAATCTTTCGGGTACGGTGCTTCCAAACACATAGTTCCACTTGGAGGCACGTATCCTAAGGGGCGACGCTATCATGTGCAGGCTTCGTTCAACGACACCGCCAGACAGACGCATGTCGTGAACGAGTGGTTTATATCCAGTTGCCTGCGGCAAACGCCGCCATCGGGCTAGCGTAGCACCGTAGCAGCGCAGCAGGGATGATGATGATGATGATGATGATGATGGTGGTGGTGATGTTGATGTTGATGGTGATGGTGATGGTGATGGTGATGGTGATGGTGATGGTGATGGTGATGATGATGATGATGATGATGATGATGATGATGATGATGATGATGATGATGATGATGATGATGATGATGATGATGATGATGATGATGATGATGATGATGATGATGATGATGATGATGATGATGATGATGATGATGATGATGATGATGATGATGATGATGATGATGATGATGATGAATTAAAGACCCTGTCCAGTTCAGCGCCCAATCTCCGCAGTCTCGTTATCCTCCCCCTCCTCTTCCTCCTTCCCCCTCCCCCCTCCCTCCATCCTCTCGAAGGCACATGGTCGTTGGTCTCGTCAGGCTTTCCTGGGGGCCTCTTTGGGCGTCTTGTGGCAGCTCGTGTGGCACTCTGGGGACGTCTTGGAGCATGCAGGGGGTCGTTGGGGTCGTTTGGAGCCAGTCTTCGGGCACCGTGCAGCCGTTTCGTGGCGGCCGTCGGCCGTCGTGGAGCCATGCAGAGGCCAAGTGTGGCGCCAGACAGCAGTCCGATTCCGCGGCGAAAGGGGGGAGGGTCGGCTTCAGAAGCGCTGCGGGAACCCAGCCAGACGGCCCACGAGCAGCCTGACGCTTCGCACCAGCGTGCTGGTGCAGGGGCGGATACAGGAGCGTCTCACCGTCGGTTGAGTGGGATGCTCGCGCTAACGATTCGTACTATTCAGGGTCTCGAGGGTCGCTCTTCTTCAAAGCCCAGGGCTCCAGCGACTACACCTTTCCAGCCGAGGTGCCTGGCATGCAAGAAGCTGCAGAGCAGTACTATGGAGAGATGGAGGTCCTGGCGACCAGGGTCATGCGCGCCTTCGCGCTGTCCCTGAACGTGTCCGAGGACTTCTTTGTGGAAAAGAGCCGGAGGGGCGCCGAGTGGCCGGTGACGATAGCACACTACCCGGACACGTCTGGAGTGGCCGTGCCGCCGGGAGTCATGCGCAGCTCGGCGGCGCCCACGAGGGGCCAGCGCGAGGGGGGCGGCCCTCCGAGGAGGCGGCGAGGGGGCTCCTCGAGAGAGGCGGGGGCCTCCTCGGAGGGCCCTGGCTAGGGGGCCGCACGCGAGCCCTGCCCCTACCCCCGACGATTTCTGGGGGGGAGGGTGGGGCTCACCTCGCTCGGGAGCTCCCGGACGAAGTGAAGCCCACCCTCCCCCCCAGAAATCGTGGGGGGTAGGGGAAGGGTTCGCGTGCGGCCCCCTACTGGCGGCTTCAGCACGAGGGGTCCCCGGAGGCTGCCGCAGACGCGCCAACGGCGAGGCGGGGGCAGCGGCGACGTGGGTCTCGGCATGGTGGGAGCGCGCGGCTCGTGCCTTCCTGCAGCTCGCCGTGTCGTGTTCGTTCGATGCATCCAAAGGTCGGAAGTGTAGGAAAAAGTGCGGTTCGTGATTTCCTGCAGGTCGGTTGCCAGTATCACCGTCAAGCAACATCGCCGTTGGCGTGGCCTTGGAGCTGGGCGGGCTTCTGGGAAGCCCCCCTTGCCCTCGCGGAAGCCCCGCCACCCTCTCAGGAGCTCGCCCCCCCGACGCCACCCCCCTCGTGGGTGCCGCCAAGTGCAGTTCACCCGCATAGTAAGGATGGGCAACCTTCCCAGGGGTGCCCTTCCCCTTTGGCCCATCCTTGGCCCCTTTCGTTGGCCAACCTCGTTCCAGAAACGCTAACGCGGCTCTGCAAGGCCCCTGCATCCTTGCCGCGCATCCTTATGATGCGGGTCGACTGTATCAACCCGCACTGGGATCGCGACCTGTTTGCCTTGGTAGTCATGCCGCCGAGCCAGGAGCGCAGCGAGGCCAATGCGATGCAGGTGCTGACCGACCCCGATGGCCGTGGCGCGGACGGTCGGTCCCGCGACGTCCAGTGGCGCAGTGCAGTCCTGCAGGAGGACGAAGTTCTCGTGAACCTTGGGGAGCTCATGTCAGGGAGGAAACACGACGACCATGACCAAGATGTCGCGGGATCTCGTCGACGCCGATCTTGGTCATGGTCCATGCTGGCCGTCGCCGATTCGCGAGGACGATCCACGAATCGACGATGACCAGTGTTGGCGGTGACCAAGATCGGCACCGACGTTCCCGCTTGCAGTCTTGGTCATGGTCGTTGTCTTCCTTCCCTCCATCATGGCCCGATACAGTAATGGGCGCTACAAACACGTCATCCATCAGGTGCCGAACTCAGACCATGGTTCCCGCGTGACCTTCATGGCGTACGTCAGGCCGAACGTCGACGAGATCGTCGAGCCCATCCGTGGGCCCGAGGAGGACCCCAGGTACAGCGCGCTCCCCGTCGGGCTCGTCTCGTCCTACGACAACCCGAAGGCTGCCACCCTCTACGAGCATTGCGCTCGCGAGAAGCTCCGTCTGCGGGCCATACCTATATCCACATCCAGTACGTCTTGGAATTTTGGGCGCTCTTCCCCAGACACCGGAGGTGCACTGGATGTGGATAACAATCTGGGCCCAAAAGGCTGGATTATGATTCATATCCAGTGCGCTTCGGCATTGCGGCACCTCTTTCCCCAAAGTCCCTGGATATGGATAGAAGTATTGCCCGCACCGTCTGGCGCAGGGGATGTACGGCTCCGCAGGCGAGCAGCGGGCTGTTCGATTTCCAGGCCGCGCCTCCGCGGTAGAAGTGCCCGGCTGCCCGAAGATCGTGTGAGCCTTCGTGGATGCCTTCTTCAAGGGAGGAAAAACCACCTGGACCCGACAATGGACGTTCATTAAACGGCCCTGGGCGTTTACTAAACGGCCCCGCCCTGTTCGACATCCTCCCAGGGGGCGTGAACTTGATGGCTTCGCTTGTCGGGGTGATTACTATGGGGGTGGATTCGGGGGCGGAAAAGAGGGGGGTGATGACTGGGGGGGGGGTGGATTTCATGGCGCGGGCCAGGATTTTTCTCAGATTTCATGGCGCCCCTGCTTATTTCATTACGTCCCAGGCCCCCCCGCTGGGCCGCGCACATGCCGCCGGTCATGATTTGCACCCCCCCCTCTCGGACACCCCCCTCTTGGCCGCTCCCGATGGATTTTCTGCCCTCTATTCTCTATCGCCAGACTGCCAAGCCGTGGTGCTGCCATCCCGGACAAGGCCCGCACGGCTTTCCGGAGGCGAGCTGCGCCGGAGCCGCCCTGAAGAGGCGAGGCCCCTCTGCTTGCTTCCGCCGGCCTGCGTGCCTGCCTCTGCCGCTTGCTCCAGGAGGGGGAGGAGGAGGAGGCGGAGGAGGGGGAGGAGGAGGAGGCGGAGGAGAAGGAGGAGGAGGAGGAGGAGGAGGAGGAGGAGGAGAAGGCGGAGGAGGCGGAGGAGGAGGAGGAGGAGGAGGCGGAGGAGGCGGAGGAGGAGGCGGAGGAGGAGGCGGCGGAGGAGACGGCGGAGGAGGCGGGCTCGGGGGGGATGCATCGACCACAAAACGTTCACTCAACGCCGATCTGGGCCTGATGGCCCACTCCGCGCAGGAGCCTGCGGTTTCCGCCAGAGCATCTGGAGTCACTCCTCTCAGGCGCGCCCGGCGCTGCCCCGTCTTCCTCGAGTGAAGTTCGAGGGCCGCCAAGGAAAAAAACACACACACACACAGTTTTGTGTGTGTGTGTGTGTGTGTGTGTGTGTGTGTGTGTGGGTGTTTTTGTGTGTGTTTTTCCCACAGTGTGTGTGTTTTTCCCACAGACGTGTGTTTTTTTCCCACAGAAGTGCGGGGGCCGCCAGGGAGGGAGTTTGATGGCCAGGGGGGCAGGGGTGCATCATGGCTGGGGCCGCCGGAGGCCGGAGCTATGAGCCGAGAGCCAGTGGTCGAGGGTCAGGGTCGGAGTCGAAGGTCAGGGTTGAGTCGGGCGTGTCCCTCTACAGGAGGAGTAACTATTCCAAACTAGTTTACAAGAAAGTATGGGAACGATTTTTGGATTATATTTTTGATTTTTCGGATTGTTTTTGGATCATCTCTCTTATTTTTTGTCCAAAATTCGCCTGTAGGAGGACACGCCCGACCTAAGGAGGCCAGGGGGGTAGGGGCGCATCATGGCCAGGGGGGTAGGGGCGCATCATGGCCGGGGCCGCCGGAGGCCGGAGCTACGAGCCGAAAGCCAGTGGTCGAGGATCAGGGTCGGAATCGAAGGTCAGGGTTACGTCGGGCGTGTCCCTCGACAGGGGGAGAAACTATGCAAGACTAGTTCACGGAAAGTATGGGAACAGTGTTTGGAGTCTATTTTTGATGATTATATATATACACTATAATTTGTTGTCCAAAATTCGCCTGTAGGAGGACACGCCCGACCTAAGGACAGGCTCAGGGAGGGATACATCAGCCCCCAATCGTCCATTCGTTGCCGATGGGGGCCCAGGACTGCGGACATGCTGTCGGCCGTTGGTCCACCTCGCCCAGGACTGCGGACATGCTGTCGGGGGCCTGTCGCCAATCGTAGCGATGTGTCGCCGATTCCAGGTCGATGGTTACCGTTTTCTTATTCATTGTTTTGCCGATCGGCGCGGGCCCTCGCCCCCCCCCCTTTCCTCCCCGTGGAGTAGATCTTGGTTGTTTTTGGCGCCTGTTTCGAGCAGGTGGAGTCTCCCCCATAATGGGCGCACTGCTCCAAACAGTCGCACTGAGCAGAGGTCCAGAGCCAGACCCCTCCCCCTCCTCCCCCTTCAGCCCCAATGTCGAAACGCCGAATAGAAAACGCTCACATGTCTCCCGCCCTGAGCTGGACCACACCTAACTTTGACCCTCAGACCTGTCTGTCTGTCTGTCTGTCTGTATGTATGTATGTATGTCTGTCTGTCTGTGTGTCTCCGCACTCCTTCAGACTGGGGCCCCGACGGCGCCGTTTGAGGGCTCCCTGCCGCAGCAGTGCAGGCAGAGCGTGTGCGCGGGTGTGCGCGCGTGTGTCCGAGACAGCGAGTGGGAGAGAGAGACAGCGAGAGAGAGAGAGAGAGGCTGGCGGGGATGCCTGCCAGCGCCGACAGCAGCAGGGGGGGGAAGGGCATTTCTGGCGCGTGGGGGCCCCGAGGGCCACCGGTCTCCCCGCGTCGTCCGAGCGGCAGCCCAGGACGACAAGCTCACCTTCTCCTTCATCATCGCGAGCGCCTTCCAGAGGCACACCGGGGAGGCGGCCCGCGCCCCGCGCAGCGTGTGCCCGGCCCGCCGGCGAGAGAAGGACACCTTTCACGCACGCCTCAGGCCGGCCTCGGAGCAGGATGGACCGATCCAGAGCGCGTTCTCAGAGCGTGAATTACCTACCCCGCTTTCGCATCAGGCCGGCCTCGGAACAGGATAGACCGATCAAGAGCGCTCCAGGATGTTCTCAGAGCGTTCCGGGACGAGCACTCCGGAGCGTTCTGAGAAGGCCACGGCTCCCGACACCATTGTGACCCTCACAGTTGGAGGCAACTGACCAGGTCAGTTGGAGGCAACTGACGGTCAGTTGGAGGCAACTGACCGTCAGTTGGAGGCAACTGACCAGGTCAGTTGGAGGCAACTGACGGTCAGTTGGAGGCAACTGACCAAGTCAGTTGGAGGCAACTGACGGTCAATTGGAGGCAACTGACCGTCAGTTGGAGGGAACTGACGGTCAGTTGGAGGCAACTGACGGTCAATTGGAGGCAATTGACCGTCAGTTGGAGGCAATTGCCAGTCATTTGGAGCTGATGGTCAGTTGGAGGCAACTGACCAGAAACTCAACAGGATTCTCAATCGCTTCCAGCTGACGGTCAGTTGGAGGTAACTGACGGTCAGTTGGAGGAAACTGACGGTCATTATCATCAATTCCACCATCATCGGCATCATCATCGGCATCATCATCGGCATCATGATCGGCATATTCATCGGCATACTCATCGACATCACCATCATCAGCAGCACCATCAGCATCATAAACATCATCATCATCATCATCGTCTTCGACACATCATCACCATCACCATCATCACCATCACCATCACCATCACCATCACCATCACCATCACCATCACCATCACCATCACCATCACCATCACCATCACCATCACCATCACCATCACCATCACCATCACCATCATCACCATCACCATCACCATCACCATCACCATCACCATCACCATCACCATCACCATCACCATCACCATCACCATCACCATCACCATCACCATCACCACCATCACCATCACCATCGTCGTCGTCGTTGTCATCGTCAACGTTACCTTGATCCCCGTCCTCATCCTCATCTTCTTCCCTCCTCATCTTACTCCCACTCTTCGCCCTTCCGTTCTACTTCTGCTATTCCTCCTCCCCTTCCTTCTTCTTTTTCTTATTTTCTCCCCCTCCTCTTCCTCCTCCTCTTCCTCCTTCTCTTCCCCTCCCTCCTCCCTCCCTCCCTCCCTCCCTCCCTCCCTCTTCCTCCTCCTCCTCCTCCTCCTCCGCCTTCTCCTCCGTCCTCCTCCTCCGCCTTCTCCTCCGTCCTCCTCCTCTTCCTCCTCCTCCTCCCTCCTCCCACTCCTCCTCCCTCCTCCCTCCTCTTCTTTCCCTTCCTTCTGTCTTTTTCCCAAACATCCTAATATACTCCCAGCCATCCTGTGTTGCTGGGTTCTCGTCTTGAAGACAGCGCTCCGCGTCCCATCTCACTCATTCCCGGCCCATCCCTCTCCGCCAGGCAGCACAGTCTGCCCAGGACTAGCGTGGTGGCCCTACTAGTGTACATTGCTCCTCAGAAGTTGGTCGGCTTCATTCGACTGGTGTGGGTTAGTGCGTCCTCGACGCGTCACGGGCCGAGTGTGTCATTTGCCCTGGATCGCTTCCTGATGGCCCCAGCGCCTGAAAACGGCTCGTTCCTCCTCTTGCCTCCTGCCTTTGCCCTCTGCTTCCAACTTCGCCGCACACCTCACGCGTGTTTCGTGGCCCCGCCGTGAGCTTCACCTGCGGTCTCATTGGCCGCAGACGTTCGCGGTCCCCCCTTTCCACTTCGGCGCACGCCTCACACGTTACGTGGCCCCATCGTGAGCTCCACCTACGGCCGAGGGGAGCTCCACCTACGGTGTCAATGGGCGCAAACGCATGGGGTCCCCCTGTCCACTTCGGCGCACGCCTCACACGTTCCGTGGCCCCACTAGGGAGCTCCACCTACGGCCGAGCGGAGCTCCACCTACGGTGTCAGTGGGCGCAAACGCATGGGGTCCCCCTGTCCACTTCGCCGCACGCCTCACACGTTCCGGGGCCCCATGAGGGAGCTCCACCGACGGTCTCAGTGAGTGCAGACGCACGGGTATCTTGCCCACCTTGGCACACCACTTGACCGACGCAGCCGCCGCTCTTTTTGGGAGGCTGGGCCACCCCGCGAGGTGACCAACGCCGAGTGGTCACTGCTGCTGCGCGGGGTGGGTTTGTTGGACATGTCGCAGAAGCCCGCCAACCCGGACCCGGACTGGCTCACAGAGAAGCAGGACGCCCTGCACCCGCCCCCGAGGGCTCGACGGCCCTCCTCCTCCATCTCCTCCTCCTCCTCCTCCTCCTCCTCCTGCTCCTCCTCCGCCTCCTCCTCCTCCTCCTGCTCCTCCTGCTCCTCCTCCGCCTCCTCCTCCTCCTCCTTCTCCTCCGCCTCCCCCTCCTCCTCCTCCTCCTCCTCCTCCTCCTCCTCCTCCTCCTCAGGAGGAGGAGGAGGAGGAGGAGGAGGAGGAGGAGGAGGAGGAGGAGGAGCTCGGCAACGGCTAGAAAGGTGCCACCACATTAAACATGCATCAAGCAAACTCCAAACGAGTTAGGGGGGGTCAAAATCCTCCCCGGGCGGCACAACCTGCCGGCGGCGCTCTTGCGCTCGAAGCCCGAGCGACTCCGCCTCTTCCCGAGAGTGGAAACCAAAAAGTGACAGGCCTCGCAGAAGGTCGACCCCAGTCCCCGCCCAAGCACACCCACCCCCGCCCGACATGGACGCAAGAAAGCCTCTGGACAGAGGCGGCGCTAGCTGCGGGAGGTCGTCCAGACCCATCTTGGCTGCCAAGTAGTCTCGAGAGGGATCCGATAACACGGCCGCTCGCGAGACCCGAAACCCTTGCTTCGAAGGATGTCGGCCGCGCAATATCCAATCCAACTGCCTCTCACGACCCGAGGAACGGTGGCCCAGACAATCTGACGCTAGAGCCGTTTTTCCCCCGTGCCCTCCTACGGCACAAACCGAGCCGCAGCGAGTACAGAAGGCCAGGGAGCCGGCCGCAGCCCCCGCGGGGTCCGTGACCCCACACTCGATGATGTGGTGGGCGCGGGCTGGCCAGACATGGAGGTCGGGCCATTCGGCCCTGCTCTCCTTACCTTCCTCGCCCACCCTCCCCGACTCCCGACCCGCTCCGCCACTCCCAGGAGGAGGAGGAGGCACAGGAGGAGGAGGAGGAGGAGGAGGTGGAGGAACCTCGTCGGGGAGAGGAGGGACCTCAAGGGTGATGTGCCTAAGCCAATCGATGCCGACATGGTCGAACTGCTGACTGTCTCCAATCCGAGCCTCTTGCTCAGCCGAGAATTTACAAAGAAGACGGGCCAACTCGAAGCAACCATCGACGACGGCACGATCGGCGGCAGCGATTCTACCCAAAGAGGCACCCTTCTTTGCATATTCGTCCGCAGCCTTGTTGCCGAGATACTCAAGTCGACTGAGCTTCCCATTCTCGACATCACGAAGGGTGCTATGGGCTGGCATTTTATGCCACCGCACACCGTCAAGCTTATCATACACATGCTGCCACATATGCGATCGAGCATTATCGGGACACACAGCTCCCACTGGGTCCGAAACATACCCAAGGGTCCCCGCGCAGTCCCCATACAAGTTGGCCCCGGGGAAAACTGTAGCATGGCGGACAAGGGAGACCACAGCGTAGTCCTCGCCGTCGCGAGCGACCTGGGCTGGAGCAGCGCTTAAGGGCACACGCCCCCATATCGCACGGGCAACTTTCCCCCACCCGTCCGTCACAATCACCGCCCATCCCGCCGATCGAATCCTAGGGAGAGCAGGCTCGTAGCACGAGCCGTCTATGAACACATGCGCCCCCTCTCCAAGCACCAGACCTTCGGCGGGCCAATTGTGCCTGTAGACCGTGGCCTCGGGGTGCTCAGAGGGGCGAGTGAACCAACAAGTGGGGTCAGGGAGCACGCACCTGGCAAACAGCTTTTGGGCTCTGGGTGAGAGGAGGCGCACGCGATCCGCCGCCCGACGCAAGTCCGGGCTCAACACATCGCGCCGCCACGCCTCGTGGGCAGGGCAATCGAAGCGACGATGAAACATGGTGCCCGAGGGAGCCTGGCAGACCAAACAAGCAGGAGAGATGTCCTGACAGGCGTCGTGACATCGCTGCTGGCACCAATACCTATTGGCAATCAGGCTGCGCAAGCAGTGACGACAATGATCAGACCAGACTGAGCTTTGCTTCGAAATCAAATCGAGAGCCGGCTTGAGACAGATGGGGCCGCGCCACTCGGCGCCAAAATCACTCTGCCGAATCTGCTCTTCCATCACAAGAGCTTCCTCGCACGCTTCGCGCACGCGAAGGGCGAAGAAGGCTGGGGAAAACTCAGACAAACTCCAGGAGCGACCCGCCTGGTCAACCAAAACCTCATTTGGGACATCCAACCTCCAACGGATCCGAGCGAGCGTCAGAACAAGGGCAGCCAGAGGCTGCTTGGCGGAGCCCCAGGGCCTGGGTTTGCTCGCAGACAGGAGCGCGTCTTCAAACGCCGAGAGGAGCACCTGCTTCGTGACGCTGCGGTGCCACCAAACTGACACAAACGCTTTGACGGCGTCCACCGTCGTTGAAACGAGAGGGTCACGCTGGGGGGCCCCACAAAGGAGGAAGGTGAGGCCAAGGGAGGAGCCAGGCTGAAGGGGGCCGAAGGACCTGGCAGCGGCCACCCTCAGAGTCCGCAGAGCCGAATTCCCAAAACCATTAATGTGTGCACCCCACGTGGCCTTAGCGACTGGACCCGCCCTGTGGACCCGAGAAGCCTCCCTACCCCGCCCGATTTTGGTGAGCCGAGTCGCTGCAGCCGACGCGGCAGACAGGCGAGCGCGCTGCGTGGGCACCCGACGGCCCTTGCCGTCGGAGGCGTCCCCACCGAGATCACGGTGGGTGGAAGCGAAAAAAGACTCATCGAACGGCCAGCGACTGTCTGCCAACAGCGCGCCCGCGAGCTCCGACGTCGAACAGAGGACGCACGTCTTCACCAAGTTCAATGGCAGGTCGAGCTTCTCCATCTCCTTGATCACCATGTTGGCTGCCGCGACCAGCTGGCTGCACACCGTGCGGAGCGTGCCGATCGCGTGGACCTTCAGGTCGTCGACGAGATTCAGCGGCCGGACAACGGGCGTCTCCACCACGATCTGCCGGAGAACGCTCAGCGTCAGGAGCTTCACCACGCCAGTCGCGCAGCTGCAGCCCGCGATCACCGTGCCGTTGGGCAGCACCGCCCGTGACGTGGCGCCGAGCCACCTGGCCCGCCTCGGGCCGCGGTAGATCGCGCATAGGCACCTCAGCAGCTGCAGGTCGAAGCCGAAGTGCCGCGCCGCCACAACCAACATGCAGTGGGAGACATTCTCGAAGAACTTGCTGACGTCGAAATACAGCGTCCCAGAAACAAATCCGTGGCGCTTGGCGTGCACTACGAGCAAGTTGTGGATGTAGGCTGCGCGGTCCGCCGCCGTGTCCCCGCTCTTGCCCCAAAAGATATCGGCGTCGACCGAGCGCTCCCAGGCGCGGACCAGGCCCTGGCGAATCTTCGACCACACCCGAGGCCAGAGCCCCATCAGGCCGATGGGCCGCCTGCCCACGTCGGGAGGCGGCTTTGGGATAAATGCTATCATCGTCGTCCAAAGGTCGGGCACCTCGGCCGAGTCCTCGTACTGGTTCAAGATGGCCGTGAAGCGCTCGACCAGGGGGTCTGAGAGCTCGTTGAGCAAGCGCGGGTGGAAGTTTTCCCAGCCGAGGCCCTTCCTGCGCCCGAAGGAGAGGGAGGCCGTCCGCACCTGGTCCACGCTGATGGCCCCGAGCGTGCGCGGCACCTGCCAGCTGGCCGCGGGGGCCTCCCTCGCCCTCGACGGTTTGTCCCACAAGGGCATCCACTCCAGCACGATGGCCTCCAAGGCCAGCGCTCCCACCTGGGGATGCCCGGGCGCGCCGCCAGGCAAGGATACCGGCCGCGGCTCCACGGGCTTCGGCTTGATCAGCTTGTGAGCCACACGGCCTGACCCGGCCAGCGACGCGTTGCGAAAGTCGCGCCGCAGCCGCGCCCGGGCAGCAGCATCAGCTCTGCGCCGCCGCGCGAGCTCGTCCTCCAGGAGGCCTTCGAACCACGGCGCGAGCGGGCTGTTCCGCTCGGCGAGGGCCAGCCACGCGTCTGGCGTGGTGGTGACAAGCGCAACGTGCTCCGAGACCGCTGGCGGCAGAGTGATGGCGCGACCCTGCAGCATCAAGCCCTCCTTCACGAAGGACCGCTTGGCCTTCGAGCCGCGCGGGGCCCTGCCCCAACGGAGGAGCGCCCGCCAGATTCGCAGGAAGCCTCCGTGTCAGAGGAGTCGTGGCGTCGTTGCCGGCGCTCTTGGACGTCGAGCAGCGGCCTCTCCACCAGGCGGATCCCGCGCCCACGGCCCCGATGAGGATGGGCCTTGGAGGCCTCCACCTGCCGGGAGCGGATGAGCGACCGCTCGGCCAGGTCGAACCAGCCTGCGCACGTCACCTGGAGGTCCGACAGCGGGGCTTGCAGCTCCGCCAGCTCACACTGCGTCTCCTGCTCCGTGGCAGGCCGTGGCCCAGCAGCCTCGCCAGCGTCCGTCGCGGGGCTCACCTCCGGCTTCTTGGCCACCGAGAATGGCCGCCTGGGGTCCTCGACCCAGACCTTCGGCTTGCTCCAAACACGGTCGAGGGAGCAGCTGACCTGGTCGTGAGACCCCGCCGGCGTTCCAGCAAACGCCCGCGCAGCCGACGCGCAGGAAGACAGGGACCTCGATACCACGAAGTAGTCGTAGTCGTTGTCACCGCAAGTCGGGGCGCCACTGCTGATGAGGAGGCCATCGATCTCGTCGAGCCAGCCGCTGAAGGCGAGGTCGTCCGCGTCGACGTTCCAGTCCCCGGCCAGGAGGAATGGGACGTGGTGCTGCCCCACAAGCGCAGCGACCTCCGCCAGGAGCGTGATGTTGTCGCCCGTCAGCCCGATCGACGTGATCAGGTACACCGAGAGGCATAGGAAGACCGAGCCCTCGCCGAGGTGGATCTTCCTCGCCACGATGTGGTGCGCCCACTCCGAGGGAACGTCGATGCCCGCGCACGCGCCGACGTGGGCCGCTAAGCACAAGCCGACGCCCCCGCTGACCGCCAGGCGCTCCGTCCCGACCCGAAGCGGCGGACCCAGGGCCAGATGGCAGCCTTGGCCAAGGCACCACTGCCGAGCCGCCCCGGCTGCCTCGTCGTCGGGGAACCTGGTCTC